AGGGTTGGTTTTTGTTAACGCTTCTAGAAATAAGGCATTTATTGTGGAAGTTGACATTACAAATATCCCATATAAATCGATTTGTAGGGATAATTGGTAATTAACATGGTATGCCCCTAGAAATCATTTACCAATAGCTAAAACATAGTGATAAAGATAATTTTTTAATCATAGGATGAGCCCATTAGCTAAGCACAACAGTATTACCAACCACCATGAAAAATCTATTTTAAGGGGCAGTTCATTAACTGGGCTCCTCTCCAACCTTTTACAGGGGACCAGTAAAATTACAACCATGTTTGAAGAAACGTGGTGCGCCTTTAAATTCGTTTAGTAGTAGTGTTTGCATGGGAGCAAGGCGATACTAGATCCACAAATGTCTGAAATAAGCCATACAATTTCATTAAAATTGTACTGATATCTAGTTTGAAACAGAGAACTATCCTTACTTTTGACACAATACTCATATATTAAGTTTTGTTACATAGGGGAAATGATTCTATTAAATCATGAGAACAATTACATCTTTGTTTATATCTAACTCTCTGGACAATAAGAGTGACACACATGGGTAAATCCAGAGTTACATAATGACATTCTTCACCTCCAATCTATATCCTTGATATCCTTGACGATTGTTAGTTATTCTGATATGTCAAAACTCAGAGACGCCAGGTTTCATGCCTAGATATATATTTGCACGGAAATTCTCTTTGCACAGAAATTCTCTATCTATATACCTAATAATAAAGAGGCAAAATTTCTTCCCATTTTTTTTGGGTATGGCATCTCCTAACTAACTTCATGAATGTGAAAACTGACTCTATTATGCGTCTACCACCCTCCTATTTTATATGATATATGTCGGGCTTGATAAATAACCTAGATAGCTAAGAATCCTAATCCAAATAGATTCTTCGGATTCTAAGTAACTAAATAGGAATCCTACTCAAAATACAGCAAATATAAGAATAAGAGGCAAAATTTCTTCCCATTTTTTGGTATGGCCTCTCCTAACTAACTCCGTGAATGTGAAAATTGACTCTATTATGCGTCTACCACCCTCCTATTTTATATAATATATGTTGGCCTTGATAAATAACCTAGATAGCTAAGAATCATAATCCTAATTCAAATAGATTCTTCGGATTCTAAGTACCTAAATAGGAATCCTACTCAAAACACAGGAAAGATAAGAATAAAAATTAGACAAATTTGGATGTACCTATATCTATTTCTACTACTCCATCCGTCCCGAAATAAGTGATGTTTTGGGTTTGTCCTAAGTCAAACTATTTCAAATTTGATCAAATTTATACAAAAAAGTGCTAATGTTTAGGATACCAAATAAGTATTATTAGATTTATCATGAAATGTATTTTCATATTCTACCTATTCGGTGTTATAAATATTGATATTCTTTCCAATAAATTTGATCAAACTTGAAATTGTTTGACTTATGACAAACATAAAACATCACTTATTTTGAGACAGAGGGAGTACCATTCAAGTCGCTTTTTTTTTCCTTTTCTGTTTTCCGTCGGTGTCCGTTTTTGTTTTTCTTTCCTTCGGATGGCCACTCAACCTTTTTTTCCTTTTTTGCTTTCAGTCCGTCCCAATTTTCCTTTTTTTATATCTTTTCTGGTATTTTCTGATTTTCTTATAAAAGATAAAGAAAATATATCTAATCTATCTATGTCCACTTCTAGAAGTTTGTTTAGAATGATTCTCACATGTTAATAAATTAAAATAGAGTTCTAACTCAATTCGGTCACGTTAGCTCACGTAAATGCAGGTCATAGCAGCTTATGCCAAAACAGTCGACATTTCCCCGATGCCAAAAAAATCACCCGTACATCCATTGCGGTGTTTTTTTACTTTTTCTTGTAAAAATCAAAATAAACAACAAATACAATTTTAAGGGTCTTTGAACCATTGACATTTTTCTATGAAACAAAGATTTTCACCAAAAGTTGTTGATGTAGTTTTTATTAGAAATCAAAATTATTCTTATTAAAACCTAGATTAGCAAATGGTCCAACTAATCAATGTGTGAACTAAAATCTTTTAAGTAGTTTGTTGCCTAATTCAGTCTAAAAAATATCAATGGACACATCAATTGTTGACACGTCAACAACTAACTACTTGTCGACTTTAATTAAATATTAAAACTATAGATTTTTATAGGTCCTCACGATATTTAATCATTAAAACACATGAATGGTATGAAAATTAAAGTTAATAAGTTACGATAAGACATATAAATATTTCCGTGCCTTGCATTGGAAATAAAACAAATCTATCAAGATTGTACTTTAATTGGATACATGTTAATAGGATATTGATGTATCGTTACCAACATTAACTTATATTATTATATATGTCGGTTCATTTTTTTCATATATATATTATAGTTTTTTCTCCTGTATATAACGCATGGGCATGTTTTGCTAGTAAGAAAAAAGGCCCAACAAGGGATCAACGAAGCCAATGCCATTGAGTAGCCCGTGAGACAAATTTATTCAATCTAAATCTTATGATGATTAGACTGGATGAAGGAGAGTCCCCGTTCCTGTTCACCACCGACGAGGCTGGCCACATGAGGAGAAGGGGACCAGCAGTGATGGTGCAGAGGAGCCTAAGACTTCAGCATGCAATAGGAGGAGACGCTGGTGGCTCTACGTATTCAATAATAATATATATACAATCATATATGTTAATTTAACGCTAACTGGAAAAGATTAACATGGCAGCGACAACAATGAAACGTCACAAAATCCAAAACATGCAGTTGGTCTTTGCTTAGACCTCAATTCTCCTGTAACATAACAGCCAAATATTCCAGTTTTCCACCGCACCTGCCTGCACCCACGTTCACCACGGCCCGGCTTAGAAAGCGAGGCGACGGACGAGGGATCCCACCGGCCACGTGAGTGCGAGCTGGCGGCCCGCGGCCGTGTCAGGCGTCATGTGAGGGGCAGGGTCGCCGCGGACGTGACCCGTCCGCGCGCGGTACGGGTGGCGGTGGAGTCGTGGGCTTCACTGCACCGGAGCCTGGAGGTCAATGCAACGCAAAGCGTCAGGCGTGGCGCCGCCCGCTCGGCTTCGTCTCCGGCTCCACGCCTGCTCTGTGTGCGCACGTGTACGTGCGGGGCGAGCGCGACGAAGCCCACGCCGCGATTCATCGCGCGGCGCCTGCTACGTGCTACCTGGCTCCGCCCCGTCTGCCACGCCGCGTCGCGCTAGAGCAGTAGCGTGTGCAGGCGCGACGCTTTCGCGTCCGAATCATCCTAGCTACTAGTACTACTACAATGATTGTGAGAACGAAACCAGCGGACTATGTGCGTACATGTCGAGTAGCAGGGGTGACGAATTCTCGAGAAAATGCTGGAGGCTCTGATGAGTGATGATAAGCAATAATAATGCTTCTTTTAGCGCCGTCGTGCCGATTTCCTTCGAATTTTCGGTGAGAGCAGGTACACAACGGGTAATGCGCTTCGATGTCTTTCAGCGAGTGAGTGCTATGTTTCCTCGCGGAGGGTGACACTGACACAGCTCACAGTTTGTTGACAAAAAAAGGAGAGAGAGCTGGGGCTGGGGGTTTGGTCACGGTGCTCCGAACTTCGCTTCACGATCTCGATCTCGATCCCGATCCGACACGAAGCTCTGGCTCTCCGGTCTCCGCTAGCTTTTCTCCCGACGCGATCGATCAAAGAGCGCTTTCGCGTCTGAAAACGAACGAAGCGCACGGCACAGCACAGCACCGCACCGCAGAGTTCGAGCAAATTAGGCGGTATACGTGCTATGCGCCGAACTTGCTTTCCGCCGGACTGGATTGCCTGCCCAAAATCAGCAGTACTCGCGTGCAACGACTGGATGCACGCTTAGTATACGCGTACCATCTCTCAGGCTACGTGTAGTGCATGCGGTTCGGAGCTGCAATTCCAAGTCATGAAAACATAACGTAAAAAGAAAGTCCTATCAGCAAAGGAAGTGATATGGGAGATTCTGAAACTCACTGAAAATATTCAGTCCCAAGTAGCTATCTTGCTGTACCTGTGGTGGTCAGAGCGGTGTGGTATACGTGAAGGGGAATTACCAAGAAGTACAACAAGCTTAGCGCTTTTGATCAAAACTTATGCTGATGAAACATCAACACTGAAACAGCCGGTGGTGCCACCCCCTCGATTAAAGGCAAGATGGAGAAAACCACCTCAGGATGTGGCGAAAATAAATTGTGATGGGGCTTTCATGCAGGAAGAACGATCGGGAGGCTGGGGCTTTGTCATTCGCAGCTCTGAAGGGGAGGTCATCTCTACAGGTTTCGGTAATTTGAAAAGAGTGCTGGAACCCTTCCATGCGGAGATCATTGCTTGTTTACAGGCGGTGCAAAGAGCAGCTGATCTTGGTCTACAAAACGTCATTCTGGAAACGGATGCATTGATGGTAATCCAGGCAGCTCTGTCTTCTATTTGATGATCGAAGCTCGGCTAGTGGTTTGGTGTGGGAGCTAAAAGCATTGTTGCGCTGTAATTTCAGTTCTTGGGTAGTAGCTCATAATCCAAGGTCCTGTAATCTAGTTGCTCATGGTTTGGCGGCTTTAGGTTACAAGTTGAGTCCGGATACTGCTGTCTTTGATAGTATCCCAATGTGTATCTATGAACTGTTGGCCAATGATTTGGCCCCAGTTATTGAGTAATGGATTTTCCATGTTTCAAAAAAAAATCGACCTTCACTTCTTTTTTATTCGGGGAATCATATTCTACAAGTGGCTTTTGTATATATAAAAAAGGCTGTACATGAACCGTAAAAAGATGAATGTGCTGTTCATTCCGGCCTTCATACTGATGCCCAGCCCATACGGCCCAAGTGCACAAGCAGCACATCCCATCCATTGGACGACCCAACAAAACTGGCAGACATCCGGCCCACGCAGCAACCCGTTATTGACAAGCACATCTCTCTTCTTCCCCGGAACCGACCGGAGCGCTGCATCCTCCATGGCTCCTCCGCCGCGGCGAAACCCGCAGCAAAACCCCACCCGGAGGAAGGTACGCGCGCACGCACCACCCAACGGGCTCCGTCCTCGCCGTCAGTTCCGGAACCCTAACTCTCTCGTCTACTCCCTGTCGCAGGGCGAGGAGCCGTGGCTCGCCGCGAGCCTGCGCCCGGCGAACTTCCTCCCGGGCCTCGCCATCGGGTTCCTCCTCGGCCTCCTCCTCGACCTGTCCTCGTCGTGGAGACCCAAGTCCAGCTCCCCGCCGGCTCCGGCCGTGGCACCCTCGCGGGGCTCCAGCTCCAAGCGGGCGTCGGGGAATTCGTTTGCCTCAGGCGGCGAGGAGCTTAAGATGGTAAGTTGCGCTGCGAGTGTACCGCGTGAGTATACGTGACGGGAGCTCTTCGTTGCTGGCTTGCTGCAGCTACTTGTACCGCCTACATCTGATTGATTTGGCTCCTAAAACTGAAACATCACCATTTGCCTTGCGCTTTATCGCTTCCGATACAATTCCATTGCGAGGATTTACGACGCTGGTCGTCTGAATTTTGTTTCAAGTATTGCTGCTTTGTTTGAACTTCACACAACTCTAGAGTTGAGCTCGCTCTCATTAATGACAATGCGATGTGCAGGTTTTAGTGGTACGCCAGGACCTCAAGATGGGGGCTGGGAAAATAGCTTCTCAATGTGCCCGTAAGTTCATCTCCAAGTGGACGCATGCTGTTTATTTGGTGCACCTCTTTTTCTTTGCATTATCCATAGGTTTTTGTACTTCGCTAAAAAAAATGTATAACCTATGTGATTGCCTAATCTGCAACCGCCAAATCTTAGCCAGAGCAGCACTGAACTTTTGCTATATGTACTGAACTTTTGAGCCAACTTACACCTCATTTGTTGCTAATCTCTTGCAGATGCAGCGACTGGCTTGTACGCCGAGTTGTTTTCAAGGTGTTAATGCGGTTTGCACTGTTTCTTCATTAGGTAGTTTTAGTTGGAGGATGCCTGATGTATATTTTTCTCTTCATAGACATAAATATTCCTTTATAATGTTACTGTACAGTATGTAGGCTTGAATTTGCGTAGATACAGATGCTGGCACTCATTGATTGATTTTGAAAAGCTTTGATTGAATAAATGCTGTTCTACTCATCAAAATAATGTCGAGTATATTTCTGCATGGGTACTGGGACCTTTCTTTATTGGATTGAAGGCTCACATATTGTTGTAAAAAAAAAGGCTCACAAACCATTTTATCTTGTCTGAGTAGCTGCTGAGTTTTAACTACTGGACACTGTAGCATTGTCTTGTCCATATGGCCTTAAGCCCTTAACACTCTCATCACCAATCTGTGGAGTCCTCGGACTCCCAGAGCTACGGCCCCATCACCCATCTCTAGAGCTAAGGCCTTAACTATTGCACCATCCATATGTGATCTTAAATACAGTACTGACTCCTTTTCTGTTCATTATGTTGTAAATCCTCCATACAAAAAGGTAACTGTTCAAACAACTAGTGGTGTGGTGGATGTAGACTGAATTGAAATTAAATGGATGGAAAGTGCAGGCTTCAGTAATCTTATTTTCCCACCCTTACATTTTCCTGTGAAGCCTTTGCCAAAGAGCTATTTTATGTACCTTGTCGTCAGTATTTGGTGAAAACTGAGCTCCCCCAAACTCATTTGACATATCTTCTGTAGCAATCGGGGTTTACTGAGACAATGGGAACAACTTGGACAAGCTAAGATTGTTTTGACATGCAAGAATCAACAGGAAATGTTAGTCTGCTGCTCTCATAATACCTAAGTTTCCATAGAACATGTTTGCTTGGTGGTGATGTGTAAATTTGTATTTTACTTTATAAGCATGCTTGTTCCCCTGTGGTCTATTATCAGGAACAGGCTAAAGGAAACTGCAGAACATCGAGGTATTCCTACATTTATTGTTGCTGATGCAGGCCGCACAGAGGTTAGTTTCATGCTTATGCGGATCTACCTACTTTGATACGTAAAACCTAGCCCTCCTGTCAGCCTTCACAAAAATCAAGAAAACAATATCCTTCTAAATTTCAGATGGTTTAACATATCTAAGTGATTCTTAATTTGAAAATTAGTATTTGATTTATTGTAGATTGGGTAAAATTTTTTTACTAAAATGATATACTTCAACCATTAGTTCCATGCAAGAGACTAAATGGAAGGGTCAGAAGGCGAAGGAGGTGGACAATACAGGTTTCAAGCTTTGGTACACAGGGACAGTCGCGAATAGAAATGGAGTAGGAGTTTTGATTGATAAGAGCCTCAAGAATGGTGTGGTGGGAGTGAGAAGGCAAGGAGATAGGATTATCTTAGTCAAGCTTGTCGTTGGTGATATGGTCTTGAACGTAATTAGTGCGTATGCCCCCCAAGTAGGCCTCGACGAGAGTGCTAAGAGACAGTTCTGGGAAGACTTAGATGGCCTGGTTAGAGCTATACCTAGTAGTGAGAAGCTTTTTATAGGAGGAGATCTTAATGGGCATGTAGGTACTACAAGCGCAGGTTTCGAGGCAGTTCATGGAGGTTTTGGGTATGGTAGTAGGAATCAGGAGGGGGAGGAAGTTCTGGACTTCGCGGTAGCTTTTGACCTGATGATAGCCAACACTTTCTTTAGAAAGAGAGAATCTCATCTAGTGACCTTCAGTAGCGGACAACACTGTAGCCAGATTGACTTTGTCCTCGCAAGAAGAAAGGACAAACGAGCATGCTTGGATTGCAAGGTGATACCAGGGGAGTGTGTTGTTTCTCAACATAAGCTTTTGGTGGCAGATTTTCGTTTTCAGGTGCGTGCCCGTAGGGATAAACAAGCTAAGATTCAAAGAACAAAGTGGTGGAAACTGAAAGGGGAGACGTCAGAGGTATTTAGGGAAAAGGTTATCAAAGAGGGCTCTTGGAAGGAAGAAGACGACATAAACAACATGTGGGAGAAGATGGCAACCAACATTCGGAAGGTGGCCTCAGAGGTGTGTGGAGTAACCAAAGGAAGTGGAGGCGAGGCTAAAGATACTTGGTGGTGGAACGAGGAAGTCCAAAGGGCTATTAAGGAGAAGAAAGAATGCTATAGACGCTTGTACCATGATAGGAGTGTGGACAACATAGAGAAGTACAAGGTGGCAAAAAAGACTGCAAAGCGAGCTGTAAGTGTGGCAAAGGGTAGAGCGTACGAGGATCTTTACCAACATTTGAGTACGAAGGAAGGAGAGAAGGACATTTATAGGATGGCTAGGGTTCGTGAGAGAAAGACACGGGACTTCAACCAAGTTAAGTGCATTAAGGATGAAAGGGAGCATCTCTTGGTGAAGGAGGATGAGATCCGACATCGATGGCAAGAGTATTTTGATAAATTGTTCAATGGTGAGAATATGGACACAACCTTTCAGTTGGATGACTCTTTTGATGACACCAATAGGCGCTTTGTGCGGAGAATCCAAGAATCTGAGGTCAGAGAGGCGTTGAAAAGGATGAAAGGAGGTAAGGCGATGGGACCAGATGGTATCCCAATCGAGGTGTGGAGATGCCTCGGGGACATAGCTATAGTATGGCTAACCAAGTTGTTCAACCATATTTTTCGATCGAACAAGATGCACGATGAGTGGAGGAGAAGTATATTGGTACCGATCTACAAGAATAAAGGGATATTCAAAGTTGTACTAATTATCTCTGGAATTAAGTTGATGAGCCATACTATGAAGCTATGGGAGAGAGTTATCGAGCATCGCTTGAGAGCAATAACGCTGGTCTCGTGGAACCAATTTGGTTTCATGCGGGAAGGTCAACCATGGAAGCCATTTTCTTAATAAGACAAGTTATGGAGCGGTATAGGGAGAAGAAGAAGGACATACACATGGTTTTTATTGACTTGGAGAAGACTTATGATAAAATACCAAGGAATGTTATGTGGTGGGCTTTGGACAAACATAAAGTCCCAACGGCACGCCGGGCTCATTAAGGACATGTACAACAATGTTGTGACTAGAGTTCGAACAAGTGATGGAGACACGGATGACTTCCCGATTAGGATAGGACTACATCAAGGGTCACTTTGAGCCCTTATTTGTTTGCTTTAGTGATGGATGAGGTCACAAGGGACATACAAGGGGACATCCCTTGGTGTATGCTTTTCATGACGATGTAGTGCTAGTTGATGAAAGCCGGACGAGGAGTGAATCGAAGCTGGAGTTATGGCGGAAGACTTTGGAGTCCAAAGGTTTTAGACTCAAAGAGAACTAAAACCGAGTATATGAGATGTGACTTGGCACTACTACTCGGGAGGAGGAAGATGTTAGTTTGGAAGGTCAAGTAGTGCCTAGGAAGGATACATTTCGATATTTAGGATCAATGCTACTGAGGGGCGGGGACATTGATGAAGATGTTAGCCATAGAATCAAAGCGAGTGGATGAAGTGGCGGCAAGCGCCCTGGTGTCCTATGTGACAAAAGGGTACCACTGAAGCTAAAAGGCAAGTTTTATAGGACGGCGATTAGACTGCTATGTTGTATGGTGCGAGAATGTTGGCTTCACGAAAAAGACGACATGTTCAACATACCTAAGTGTCATGAAATGCGTATGTTGCGTTGGATTTGTGGTCATACAAGAAGGGATCGAGTTCGGAACGATGATATACGTGATAGATTAGGGGTAGCGCCAATTGAAGAAAAGCTTGTCCAACACCGGTTGAGATGGTTTGGACATGTGCAACGGAGACCCCCAGAGGCACCGGTGCGTAGTGGCATCCTAAGCCAGGATAGTAACGTGAAGAGAGGCAGAGGAAGACCGAAGTTGACTTGGGTAGAGGCAATAAAAGGAGACTTGAAAGGATGGAATATACCCAAAGACTTAGCCTTAGATAGGAGTGCTTGGAAGACAGCTATTCACGTGCCTGAACCTTGATTGCTTCTGATGGGTTTCAACTCTAGCCTACCCCAACTTGTTTGGGATTTAAAGGCTTTGTTGTTGTTGTTGTTGTTGTTGTATTAGTTCCATGTAAGGTTTTTTCATTCCAGATACTTAACTATTTTTGTGCCTATGTGCCATGTGATGAGTTTATGGTGTGCCATTTCTATCTTCTGTGCACAGGAAATGGGCTGGCACGGACATCAATATTATCAAACATTCCTACTACTATTTAGTGTTTACCCTCATCGATTTTTCCTTGTATAGGTGTTGGCTGGATCCAAAACAGTTCTTGCAATAGGACCAGGTTAGATTCTCAATCAGAAGTTCAGACTTAATTTTTTTTTATCTCTGCAGCTATATTTTAAGTTGCAAGTTTGAACTGTATGTTGGAATTCACGAGTCCCATATATTTCCCTTTGTTTGTCAATGCGACAAGAGTTTTTCATGACCTGGGGATTTTCCTTGAAATTACCTTGTGCAGGTAGGAAAGCTGACATCGATTCAGTTACTGGGAAACTGCGTTTGCTGTGATCTGCATCTCGGAGATGGTCAATCATCTGTTCTTCTGATTTCTTCATATGATTGTTTTACTGTCATGCCAACATATCTGATTATTAACTGGACCTCACATGACCACCAATTTGAGAGCCCTTTCAAAAATCATAGTAGCAAAAGTACTTGATTATTTAAATCCCATCTTAATGCAGCAATCCGAATCACTTAATGTGGATAATTACTGCTAAAATGGGCTTTATGTTTTCTCTCTCTCCAGAGTATTGTCTTTCCACTTGAAGAGCCCCGCGGTCTCGTTTAGCATCAGAAACAGTTGCCTGCTCGGGTTGGTTGTAGCCGTTTGAAGGTTAACCTGACGATTATTCGTGGAAGTTTCCGTTTTTAGGTGGCCCATTTGAAATGCCATTGCTTGTAACCATGTATCCATCTTGTTGTATTTTTATGTCTGAGAAGTATTTGTAGTTTCGGATTAGGTATCATTCCACTCTAAGTAAGGGATACCTGGACCTTGTGCCAACAGGAAACTTCAAGCATGTCTTAACTCTCGTGTAGAGGGCATGGTAGCCTTTCTCGTCAAACATTCGTAGCATAATCAGTTGCATTTCTGTTGGATGTTGTGCGCGCCTTCCTAGTTCCTTCAAAACGGCAGGGCACGCAGGTTTCCTGAACTATCATGAAGTGTTCCTGCTGATTCTTTCCTCGACCGTGCGAGATTCCACGAACGGGACTCGATGTACCTTCTCAAGTTTGCATGTTGAGAAGCAAAGAACTTACTTGGATCATACGTTGCGTCGCGAAGAGTCGCATTAAGTTTGTACACACTCCGGTACTAGTTCAGAGCTTGGGAAATATGCCTTTCAAACCAATGCAAACTTTGACAAAATATGCAGAAGTTACAACAGCTAGTATGACGGTACGAGTCCTGCTGCATTGAAAGTTCCGCAAGTCCAATGTGAATTCGGGCTGGCCCGTGCCAATTTCCAGCCTCGCAAGGCACGGAGCGGCCCAATAAAAGCAAAGGTATCCGCGCACCTCAACGACGCTCGTCGGCCACCTACCAACGCTCCCCGGCCTCCCCCCCGCAGGCCCCGCTTTCCACTGCAGCAGCCAGCAGGGCCAGCAGGAGGGAAAGGGCGGACCAACTCCGAAGCCCAAACCCTCAACCCCCAGCCGCGCCGCGCCGCCCGCCCATGGCCTCCTCCTCCCACTCCCTCGCCGCCTCGCGGCGCGGCCGCAGCGCGCGGCAGGCGCCCTTCTTCCGCGACCTCGCCACCCCGATCCCGTCCCACCGCGGCGTCTCCCGCTTCGCCTCGGGGGCTTCCCCCTCCGCGGCCCCCTCCGCCACGCCGCCGCCGCCGCCCATCTTCACCCTCGACGACCGCTACGCCGCCGCGGACTTCTCCCCGGACCCCACCGCCTCCGACCTCCTCCCCGTCGCGTCCTCCCCCTCCCCCCGCGCCGCCGCCAGCCGCTCGCCGCCATGGGACCTGTCCCGGGGCAAGGTGTCGCTCTCGCCACCAGGATCCCCCATGGATGGGGTCGTCGAGCCGGCTCGGAAAGAGGTGCTCGCTTTGCCGCCGCCCGCGAGCCCTGGCGCCCCACCTCCTGCCACGACAGCGGAGGCGCAGTCACCGGTGTCCCCCGCGCAGGCACCGGCTAGGACGGAGCCAGTGGCGAACGGAGGGGAGGTCGAACGGGAGGAGTGGGTCACTGTATTCGGGTGAGCAAATATTACTTATGCTTTGTTTTGTACTGGATTATTAGCTTATAAATGTGTTGGCAGACGCTTATGAACACGGTAGATTTGGCTAGGAGGCTATGATAAATGTTTATCATGAGTTGACACGCTCCTTGCATTTTTCTTGCTCCCTCCCTCAGTCCCTCGGCAGTTATTTGCTAACCCGAAATTGTAGGCGCCTTGTATGATAAATTGATTCAGTTCTGTTGGTGCTTTTTCTACAGATTCTCTATTGGAGATACCAACCTTGTTCTTCGGGAATTCGAGAAATGTGGAGTAATATTGAGACATCACTCTGGTCCAAGAGATGGAAATTGGATCCACATATTGTACCAGGTAATGATACATTTAACTACTGTTGTGCTTCCATTTTCTGTTCTACCATTTAAATTTAATTTCATGTACCCAGGTTTCACAGAGTAGTCATATTAGCTCAGGCTGCTCTGTAGCTTGCCAGCGAGTTTAGTTGCCAGTGAACTGAAACAACTACATAAACTGATTTGGGCTCCCCCATTAGGTTGAATAATGTTCTTGTACCGGTTTAATATAGTGTCAATTTTTAGCTGCACAATATCAACACCAAGTTTTATCCCCGTGTGTAAATGACGTGGCATATGGTTTTGGTTATCCCTTGAACCAGAAGCATATAGGTAACTTAGTCCTGGTCTCCTGGATAGGTTTTTAGCATAACATGCTCAAGGTCACAACTTTACTTATGAATTCTCTAAATTCATAAAATGATGCATTGTTATGTGTCTGCTGACGATGGGTTTACAAATATCCTTGAAAGATGCTGGAAAACATATAGAAATGTCATGTGCTTTCTGAATTCCCTTGGCACAGCCAAGTTATGAGGCTTATCCAAATAGCAACTCTTCTGAGCTCTTCTTGTCATCAGGTCTTCAGGTAGTTCTTTTGTTGGTAGTGTCAGTTTGCTTTATGTATTTTTAAAATTAAAAACGTGTATGGTGGTCACTATCAACTCTACCTTTCTAGATGTATTGTTCCTATTGTTATTTCTGATTCTCTTAATTTTGAGATGTTAGCATCTCTGTTTATTTGACAATATTGTCAGTTCTGTTCTTTACATGCATCATAGTAAATGTTTCTACATTACTAGTCCTAATACTGACAAATTTCACCATCATGTATGTGGTCCTGAAGCGCTCTTATGATGCTCAAAAGGCCCTTCAGAAAAATGGTATCCAACTAAGCAGCGGTATGATAGTTGGAGTAAAGCCTATTGATGCAGTGCACCGGCAGCAGCTGGATGAGAGTTTCGCGCGAAGCAGTCAAGGTGGATTTATGGTTTCCTTGCCTTCAAAGTCACTTGGCTTGAAGAGCACAGGTGCATCGCACCAGTTAGGAGCCTTGCCCCGCCCGTATGACCCTAAAGCTAACACTAATGTTAGCCGAGATGCAGGCCGTCGTGCAACTGGCAGCGTTGCTGCACCAGCAAAATCAATTTTAACCAATGTGATGGATTTGATATTTGGCATCTGATATGCAATGAGGACCAATGCATCCGGGACCTTCTCTGTTTCTTCTGTTTACTTGTTCGAGAATGCCAGCATTCCAAAGATTCAGCAGCAAATTTTGCTGAAGTTTGAGAGCTTACAGAGTGAACTTTCTTTCGGTGATGTAACATTAAAATTATGCAATTTTTCACGTTTATTGTACTTATATGTTGTCTCATGGTATGTCCATATGAGGACAGTTGTATGTTAATGGCAAATGCTATAGCTCTTGTTGTGGGCGATTTTTTATATTTTTAACTCGTTCGTGTATTTTTTTTCTCTCCTGTCGTTTAAGGGCATGTTGGGTAGAGATTCACCAGTTCCAGATTCACCATTTTTAGCTTTACTCTACCAAAAATTTTCCAAACACTCCAGATCCATCAAATCTGGATCCACCAAAATGGTGGATCTAGGCTAGATTCACCAAATTGGTGGAGCTTCTCAGGGGGTGCTCCACCAACTCAAGTTTGGTGGAGTTGGAGAAAATTAACCACCAATGCCACTGGTAACATAAATAGCGCTTTGTTGTGTTTCCTTTCTTTCCTTTCTTCTTCGCGTGGCTGCACCCGATGCCAGCACCACTGGAGCCGTGCCCCATCCCCACAGGGGCTCACGCCAAACTGGAGCCCCAATCGCGCCCTCACTGATCGGGTGCCCTCGTCGGCTGCGCTTGCCAGCACTGCGCGCCCTCGCCCCGTCCCCGCACCACTGGAGCCCCAACCGTGCCCCACCAGAGCCCCAACCGGCAACCGTGCCCTCGCCCTCACCCTCCACCGGCCCCGCGCCACGGCCGTGGCCACACCCCTTCGCCCCACACCGCTGGAGCACCGTCCACCCCGCACCGTCAATCCGCATCACCCAGCTCCGATGAGGCCACGGGGTCGCCGACCTCATGTCTGTCCGCCATGGCCACGCCCGGCGAGGCCGCCCGCGCCCGCCCACCTTGCGCCTGCCCATCGTGCGATGTGCTCTGCTCGATAGGAGGATAAAGAAGAGCTTATGCGTGGGCCTATGTTGGTAGTGAGATAAAGAGAACACTAGAGTCCAAGGGCAATTCTGGTCATTCCAATGAAAATGCCCTTGCGTGGATCTGGAGCTGCTACTTTAGCCAAACAGTTCCCTGGTAGATCTAGGCTGGATCTCAGATCCACGGTGGAGCTGATCCACGTTGAATTCCAGATCCAGATTCACTTTTTCCAGTGTTGCCTTGCTTCTGCCTCTCCCTCGGAAGATGTGCTGCTGTATTTTTTGAGAAATCATATATTGCTCTCAGGCCAATCCAAATGAAAGGTTTCATTTTTTTCCCCCAAGAGGTTCGTATCATCTAGAATGCTTTCAGTTAACGAAGGAAACACTGGTCTCAAATACTAAACAGTGTTATTTTGTGGCAAGGTTTCTTTTTCTGCTCTTTCGGTTTCCAAAAGTGCTACATCATCTCCGGTGAATTTTGAGTTAGAGTGTTTTTGAGTTAGAGTGAAGTGATCCTCCCCGGTGAATTGTGTCATTTTGTTGTTTCATGGCTTGGTAAATTGTAATGCACTTCCGGCTGAAACGATGCTAGTTTCATAAGGTTTCAAGGTCTTGGAAACATTATTACTCGCCGCTTCACCTGGATGACAGTCCATTATTATTTTTTTACCTTGTTCTTTTGAACTTATCCGTCGTCATGGTATAGTTTTTTTTTTTCTTCCAACAAAACAGTATCAGTTGGCTTATCGACCGCAAAACCATCAGCCGAATAACTTTCTCTCTTTCATATATAATAGTTCGGGTTTATCCGCTCACGTTTTTTCTTTTTTGTGAAAAAGTGCGCTCATGCAGTCACGCTACTGGATTGCATTTTTCTTTTACCGTTTTTTACACCAAAGGTGTTTCTTGTGGTCCCTAGCTGTTTGCGGCTTTCTGATTGGCTAGTGTGCTGGAAAACATGTCATCGAACCAATTAGGAGGAGCCTTCTTGATCTTGACTAAAAAAGAGAAATCGAATCCTAACCCATGGATGAAAATACCAACGGTCTTGATTGTCTCTTCCCTCAATTTTTCATATTAGCCCTAGGATTCTTATCATCGTGTCTCGTTTTCTACCTTTTGCAATTTATTATTCTAAAAAAAACCATCTATTTTCATCTCTTCGACAGTTCGATGGACACAAATAAAAGGTCTGTTCACTTCTGCTTACAGCTGAAGCTGCTGCAGCTCTTGCTACATTGACGCGCAGCTGGGCTGTACCAGCAGCTGCAGCCGCAAAAACGGGCTGAAAATTTGTGACTTGATTATCTCAATAAAAATATGGGGTTTATGAACAGAATAAATTTAATAAATATTCAAACTAAATGAAATCACAGTACTATCATTAGTACAACGATGAACACTGTGTGTATGTATATACGGTAGGCTGAAGCGGGACACAATCACACAACTTTGCAGGATGGCTGGCAGCCGGGCACCGTGCCGTGCGTAACCCCGTTCCGACAAATAACAGCATTCCCAGGGGCGTACTCGCAAAAAGTGCAATAAATCCCGAGTCGTAGCACGGGACTGGAGCACCCAGTTCACGATCGCGAGGTCTGCGTCTCCGCCTGGGTCCAGCACTGGGATTTCCGCGCCTTCCACACACACACACACACACCCAAGGACGCACGCAGGCCGCAATGGCGGAGCCCGAGGTCTCCCCCGCGGCGGCCGGCGGCGGCGGCCAGCTCCGCAACGTCTTCGGGGGCGTGCTCTGCGCCTTCACGCTCCTCCTCATCGGCGTCGTCGCGTTCTCGATCCGCCTCTTCTCCGTAAGATCCGCTTTGCCCCCCCGAGCCTCCAGATCCAGTTCGGTGCTCGCGAAGCGCTCATCCCCGAATTGTGTGTGCTCATGCGTTATGCCTGCTGGCGCGCAGGTAATCAAGTACGAGAGCGTGATCCACGAGTTCGACCCCTACTTCAACTTCCGCGTCACTCAGGTTTGATTGCTGGTTCCATTGGTTTAACGTTTTGCTTCTGTTCTGCAGTATGTGGAATTCAGCTCACTTCTGTAGGAGACTACGGTGGTATATTGATGCTGAGTTTCTGTGTTGGGAGGGTTTTGGGTTTTGGGAATTTACTCTTGTGCCCTGTCTGCTAGATTTAGTTTACTATGAGATAATTAGTGGAAGTATAAAGCAAGCGACACTCACTTGGAGGCATAAATTGTTGGTTGAAACAGTTATCTGTCACATCTAGTCTAAATTTCTCCTTGTTACAGTTTCTGTCGAAGAATGGAATTTACGAGTTCTGGAACTGGTTTGATGATAGGACATGGTAAGAGCAGCAGCTCCAATTTGTCAGTCATTTAGTACTGCACGATTTCTGTGTAAAAGGAATCATTTACTAGGCTGATTTCGTTGCTGCTGCTGCTGTTTTAGGTACCCCCTTGGCCGTGTGATTGGTGGCACTGTGTATCCTGGTTTGACATTGACTGCTGGAACTATTTGGTGGTATGCCATCAAGGGACACAATTTACAGTCTTACATTTACATTCTTCTGATTAGATGTGCCTAAAGTATTTGAATGGTCCACTAGGTTGCTGAACTCTCTCAACATCCCACTGTCTGTGGAGACAGTTTGTGTGTTCACAGCTCCAATTTTCTCAGCAAATGCATCCTGGGCTACTTACCTGTTAACAAAGGTTTGTTTTTCAACGAAGTGTGGATTATCACATTATTCTTACCCATTTGCAAATTGTGTGCTTACTTTGACTTCTGCGATAGGAAGCAAAGGGTACTGGAGCTGGATTAATGGCAGCAGCCATTTTGGCAATGGTAAATTGCGCTAACGACTCCCCTACCAATTTTGACCATAATTAAAGAAAAGCTAAATTGGTACAAAACTTCCTTGGTTTATATATATTTAGCCATTTTCATGTCATGGTGGAAATAGAAATAAGGATTCTCTTTAATCAAACCAAATTTATTGTCAGTTCATTTCAGCTTTATAGTGTCCATGTACGGTTTAGGAAAGATAAGTGTTACAAGTTGCAATACTATTTATGATTGCTGATTTCTATATCCTAAACATATATTTCTAAAGTAAATGAGAAATATTATTGAATGACTCAATCTGTGTTTTGTTGAACCTGGGTACTTGACAATCGGTTTCCTCAGTTACTCAGGTTTGCAATATTTTTCTTTTTACAGGATTTTGTTAATGTTGCCGAATTGTAATGCTTCATTCAGATAACACCAAGATGTTAATTTCTAGCTAATCGCCCACTTCTTAGAACATTGTATTATCTATATATGTAGTCTTCCGTACTCTCCTAGTACCATATGATTAATCAGAATGTTCTCGACATCATCACAGGTTCCCTCATACATCTCAAGATCTGTTGCAGGCAGCTATGATAATGAAGCTGTAGCAATATTTGCCTTGATATTTACATTTTATCTATATGTAAAGGTAATGGTGCTCAAGATATGTTTTCCATTTTGCTTCTTTGACATATGCAATGCTCTGACTTGTTATGCATATACAGACGCTGAACACGGGATCGCTCTTTTATGCAACACTCAATGCTCTCTCATATTTCTACATGGTAAACATGTTGAATTTTGATCCACGTTTTTCGAATGTTCTTTGTAATCATATACTAGGCTTTTCTAGGTCTGCTCTTGGGGAGGCTACACATTCATTATCAATCTTATCCCAATGCATGTCCTCTTGTGCATTGTAACTGGTCGTTATTCTTCGCGGCTCTACATTGCATATGCTCCCCTTGTGAGTGCATAAGCTTCCTCTGGTTGGCACACTCTTCTTTACAGACTTTTTGTCCGGAACTGTAACTTACCAGATCCATGGATCATTCAGGTTATACTTGGAACGCTTCTGGCAGCATTAGTACCTGTGGTTGGTTTTAATGCAGTAATGACCTCTGAGCACTTCGCATCATTTCTGGTACCTATATGCCTTCTCCTTTCTTGATTTTTCTCCATTCCGCAGTACAATATTGTTGCCAACTCTTGCAAATGTTTTGCTTCTTGAGGCTGTTCTTTGAAATTTGAAAACTCATGATTTCTCAAGTCCAAAAGGGTGTTGGAGTAAACATAAAATGCATTTCCTAGATGTTGAGGCCAAATACAAGCATGCATTGACATTATTCATTACTGTTCATATGTAGCATATGTACAATAAATACTTCCCTCATTTTACGACATTTGTCCAACTACACTGCACAGTGCGTGTAGACCAAGAATCTCTATATAAGTAACTAGACCTTATCATTGCTATTGTATTGAAGAAATGCAAAATGACAGGATACCTGTATTGCAGGTGTTCATAATTCTTCATGTGGTTGCTCTTGTGTATTATATCAAAGGGCTTCTGACTCCTAGGCTGTTCAAAGTTGCTATGACTCTTGTCATATCTGTTGGCTTGTAAGTCTCTGAAGTTACCAATCTTTTACAATACACAGGATTAATATCTTTGGACCTTGAAAGTTGAAACCAGCAAGAACCTTGTCCTCTGAATATAAATATCTCAATCTTTATCATCTCAATGTCCAAATGCTGATTGCAAGATCCTTCCTGCAGAGCTGTTTGTTTCGCAGTAGTAGCCATACTTGTCGCATTGGTGGCATCTAGTCCAACGAAAGGCTGGAGCGGCCGCAGTTTGAGTCTACTTGACCCGTAAGTTCTTCTAGAATAAAAACTCATTTATTTTGCCAATCAGACTATGACTGACCTTACCTGGGAACTAATAAACATGAAATAACACTTAATGATGACTCGGCTGTTATTAGGTTTTAGTGTAGCTGATGAAATGATGTTGACATTTAATGCTTAGACTTAGACAAATAAAAGTGTATAACGCTATTGCAACGTCTTATTTTCCTTTCTGGTGTTGCTTTTTGTATGTAGCGCCCTGTTACAGTGTGTTTGTTCTGCTTCTCTTCTCATATTAATCGCTGCAACTTCACTCTTCTTTTCTGACAGAACTTATGCAAGCAAGTACATCCCCATCATTGCTAGTGTCAGTGAACACCAACCTCCTACCTGGCCCTCTTATTTTATGGACATTAATGTGTTGGCCTTCCTGATTCCTGCTGGGATTATTGTAAGAACTATACTTTGTCAATTAAAACTGTACCAGCAACAGTCTTAGTTCTGATTAATCGATATTTACATGATCCGCAGTCATGCTTCTTGCCTCTGTCTGATGCAAGCTCCTTCATGGTCTTGTACTTAGTCACTGCAGTGTATTTTTCTGGAGTTATGGTAAGAATCCTTGCAGTAGGAAGAATTCATGCACCCTTTTTTTCATTATTTACTTGTTATAACTTTCTGTGGCATCCATGCTTTCCTAGGTACGGCTTATGCTTGTCCTTGCTCCTGCTGCGTGCATTTTATCAGGGATTGCTCTATCTGAAGTTTTCAGTGTCCTCACACGATCCATTAAATTTCAGCTGTCAAAATTTTTTTTATGACAGCCCTACTTCTGTATGGTTCCTTCTTACATTTTTTCCTTTATACTAGAATCAAAGTACCCATCCAATCACTTGTTGACAACCTGATTTCTTCTGAAACTAAAGCCAGGTGACAGTAGCCCAGAGAGTTCTACAAATTCAATTCAAAAAAATGAAAATAGGAATGAAAAATCTGAAACGGCTCCAAAGGAAAAACCGTCAAAGAAGAACCGGAAGAAGGAGAAAGAAGTAGCAGAGAGTGTTTCTGTAAAGCCTAAAAAGGAAAAGAGGCTTTTGGTTCTGCCTTTTGAATTATCTGTTATGGGTATTTTGTTGCTGATCGTGTTAGGTGGTTTCTATGTGGTAAGTTCTCTGTTGTCAGTCTTACCAGAATGAATGTCTTCATTGAAAGAGAGGCAATCTTACTGTTAATGATTCCATTTTGTAGGTCCATTGTGTATGGGCGGCAGCTGAAGCGCATTTCTGCGCCTTCAATTGTGTTGACATCTCGTTCACGGGATGGATTGCATGTTTTTGATGATTTCCGTGAAGCTTATGCATGGCTGAGCCATAACACAGATGTTGATGACAAGGTATGATCACCCCTTTGATTTCTATTGTTTGTGGACTGACTTTTATACTTACACATTAAGGTGTTGCGCTGAAGGTTGCTTCCTGGTGGGACTATGGTTACCAAACAACTGCAATGGCCAACAGAACTGTGATTGTAGACAATAACACCTGGAACAACACTCATATAGCAACAGTTGGTACAGCAATGTCGTCCCCAGAAAAAGCAGCTTGGGAAATCTTCAATTCTTTAGATGTCAAATATGTGCTTGTTGTCTTTGGAGGTTGGTGCTTTATGGCACATAGGAGGGAAAAAAACAATGTAACTTGGACAGTTGGTCTCAAATCCTGACACAAATGTTTCTTTAACAGGACTTGTTGGATACCCTAGCGATGATATCAATAAGTTCCTTTGGATGTAATACGGATAGGAGGTGGTGTGTTCCCTCACATCAAGGAACCAGATTATCTTGTAAGTTGTGAACTCCGTCAACAACGCCCTATACACATCATTTTGGTAGCATAATAAGGGGGGGAAAGGTGAAATATACATGCATTTGCATAGCTCTTTCTTTATTCTGATTTTTGAGTTAATGTTATTGGCAGAGGGATGGTCAATACCGCGTTGATGCTCAAGCCACTCCAACTATGCTGAATTGCCTCATGTACAAGCTTTGTTATTACAGGTCTGGTAAACTGAATCAAGAAGACTGATTTTAATTGGAACGTCCAATCATCACATATGTCCTTTGTGTCCTCTAGGTTTGTGGAGACAGATGGAAAAGGCTTTGACAAAGTAAGAGGATATGAAATAGGAAAGAAGCATTTCAAGCTAACACATTTTGAGGAGGTATTATGATGTTACTCTCTGTTCAAATAGGCAACAGTTGATTTTTCATCTATTATACTAACTTGAACCTTTGCTTTATGTTTACCCATCTTGATGCTGAATAAAGGTATTCACAACCCACCATTGGATGGTCCGTATATATAAACTGAAACCCCAGAAGAACAGGGTTCGAGGCAAGTTGAAGAAGCCGAAGGCTGTAAGTGTGACAGACCTAGTGTAGTTATGTACCTCATTCTTTTTGAGCTCATTCTAACACATTATATGCTTGGTTTTGTACCTGCAGAGTGCCAAAACTAGTTCCACACTTGCGGCAGGGCAAAAGAAGAACCCGTGGCAATAGATGAAGTTAACAATAGCGCCATTTACTTGATACTTGTTGCTAGGTCAACTGCACTAAGTTCGTGAACCAGAGAACCACAGAACTAGATTAGAGATCTGCACTGTTGTATTTGACTCTCGTTATATGTTCTTGCGGCCAGAGTGCTGATGAAATTTTTGATAGACCAGAGGAAGTTTATCTATCCCATGGGTAGAGATTGGATGCGGAATTTCTTGGCGAAAGGGTTGCTTAAACTCCCAGTGTACTTGCTGTTTTGTGTAACCCACAAATTTTCTTACAAGGTGCTCGGATAATAGTGAGTTTCGGCATCTGCAGTAAACACAGAATGCTGTCAAGGAACTTGTGTGGCGGCTCGATGAAAGTGGTGCGGAGAATTTCCAATCTGATGAGATCAGCCCTTGAATCCGGTGGATATTGAAACGGGCAGAAAGATTGTTTCTTCCACGTATTTTATATTCCTCGTCGAAGAGCACATTTATTCATTTCATAGAGCCAATGCATTTTCATTTCAATGCTTTACCAAATACCAATAAATGGATCGGCGTCATCGTATTATTTTACAATGACTTCTCAGATTTGCTTTCTGAACATATAGCAGATTACTGATGAGTTTCCCAACAGGATGGGCTGGGCAAAACCCAAGGTATAAACATGAGTTTGAGATATGCCACAGTATAAAAAATTGTTGGATCACTATTAAGTTTTTGGGAACTTAGAGCCGATGATGCGCAACTAACCAGGCATCATAAGCAGACCTATCAATTTTTTCCCATCAATGAAAAGTGAATATACTCCAACAAAGGCCCATGGGTTGGGCGTGTCTAGAACTGAGAGCTGTAGGCTGTAGCTCATGAATTCACTCATTTTTGGTCTGTATAGACAGCGTCAACGTCATCAAGTTCTAGCAATTTTGAAACAAGTTCCTTGTTTAGTTCCATGGCCTCGTCGTCCACCTGCAAAAACAATATGGAAAGTGTCAGATAATATGACACTCCTAGTAGGAACTAAAAGAATGGACATTTTGCAAGAATAGAATCCAAATGGATAACATGGTAACGGCCAATGAACTACATTATGAAGAATTTGCATATTTGACACTAAATCATCCTGCCTTTGTGCCTTCACTTGTCAATTGTTTACGCAATTATCTTGGCTGTCCTGTACTATATGCAATAAAAATAATTTCTAAGATTTGGCATCAATATAACCATGTTCAAGTACAGCTGCACCCTAAACCCTAACTTGCAACTTGTGCAAACAACAGATTTGACAATAAAAAGGGAAAACAGTGTACCACTGTACCTCAATTGGGTTCAGAGGAAGAAGTTCGTAGCCATTATCAGTTTCAAACTTCAATCCTTCTTCTTGTAGCTTCGATAGCACAACTGGATAGTTTTCTGACGTAGTAACTATCTTGTAGAACCTTAGGATAGAAAGGGGCAGCTTTCAGATACAAGGAGAGTCCAAAGGAAGTTTGCTTTTATTAAAATGCAGTAAACAAGAAAGGAAAGCACCAGATATAACATAGAATTTGGTACTATCATACAGCGACCTTAATAACCATTACTAAGTACAAAACTGGTGACTTCATTATGTTCTCTGACTCAGAACACAGCTTTCCTGCGCCTTTGGAAAGTTGCTCATAACCTAATTTGTGTTAACTGGTACTTGTATCATATGTGGACAAGTAATCTAGTGAATTGCAACTTGAAACTTCTGTTAGTAATTCGGTCAGCTCTTGCTCTTTACTCCCATATTTTGTGCTGCTCATGTCATCCTGTCTCCTATGACATGAGGCTAAGTAGATAGGGAAGTTGATGTTGGCCAGGTATGGCCCTGTTAATGGTAGGTAGTATGGCTGGTATGGCCACAGTTCTTGTGATGCTTCCCATCTTCTGTACTACTCATTTCATACTGTCCAACAGTCCTATGACATGTTGTCGACTCATTTGTTGGGCGGCAGTACAGGCCGGCATGCACGGCCACCAGGCTCAGACCGTGTCTAGGGGCTGAGTCGGTTTAGGAAGAGGTCTTCAAGGGCATGCAGGCCACCAGGCTCAGGGGCATGCACGGCCACCAGGTCGTCTAGCGGCTGAGTGGTTTAGGAAAGCTCTTCAGGGAGTGATTTTAGGAGATTGACCAGACCGTGGCTAAAGGGCTGGGTCAGTCTAGGGAGAGGCTTTTCAGGGAGTGACGTTAGGAGATTTGCTTCACTATTATTAGTAATGTGCACCTGAACTATAAAGGGCACCTTAGATTGTGCAATAAGGATTATCGAAGAAGGAATAGGTGGGTGCGTTTTCCCCTTCAACAGTGGCTGCCGGCGACGAACCCACCGCGCCCTGGCCTCGCTATCCTCTGCGTTCTATAGCTCTCAGTCTCATGTACTCCATTCTCCCCTACGCTCTCCACATCGCCAGCGCCGCATCAGACATGAGGCTAATAGTAGATAGGAAAGCAGCGAAAGCTGATGTTGGGCAGGTATGGCCTTGTAATAGTAGGAAGTATGGTTGGTATGGCCACAGTTCTTGTCATGCTGACTGATATGGGCTTAGTACTAGGTGTACACCTATTGTACTAGAGTAGAATTTGTATATAATCAAGTTCAAGGACCAAGTAGAATTTGTATATAATCAAGTTCAAGGACCAGCTGCATCCTTAGTTCAGTAGCAGCAGCACTCCTGTGCGTGTGTGTGTTGTGCTCTCTCTTCTCTCTTCTCAACTAATCCAGCTCTCAAGTGTGTGGAGAACGAGCTCTGGCTCGGTTGGCATGCGTGCAGGTGAGCACGTTGCCCACCAGCGTTCGAACCCCGGGTTCGGCGCTGGTGTTCTCACCGGGATTTATTCCCATAATAACCTTCAGTGAAGCCTCTCAACGCGTGGTGCCACAAAGGGACTGCGACATTCCCGTCGCCTACAGAGCCTGCTCTAGGACGCGTCTTCATATCTGTGTATAGTTGTAGGTCTACTCGTGTACTAGTGGTGTGAGTGTGATGTTCGTGTGTGTGGTGTAGGTGTGTGTCTGTATGCGAACAGATGCTACAGCTGTATCCAGATGAGAGGTGACCAAAAAAAAAAAAAGCTCTCAAGTGTGTGTGAGGCTGAGGATCTGCACCTGATTGCCGACTAACACCTTCATTGGTTTTCTAGTAAACAGTGTTGCATCAAACAAAAAAGCATTCAGCATTATACGAGCATGTACCTTTCTACTTCTTCTTCAGAGTCGTCATCATCAAAATTTGGTTCAAGGACGTCATCAGCACCAGCATCTAACGCAATGGTGAGCAGTTGGTCCTTATCTGCGTCAGTAACTTTTATGTTCACCACTCGAGCTTGTCTGAATCTAAAGGTAACAGATCCAGGATCAGCCAATTTTGCTGCGCAGTCTTTTACCACATTTCTAATGTCAGCAACTGATCTTGTAATTTTGTCAGTCAGAACTTCAACGACCATACCTACTCCACCAAAACCATAGACCTGTGAAAATTCTCCATGCACTTAAAACCTATGTAAACCACATAAAAAGTTATATGTACTCTAAGTAACTTGTACTTGTTCCAAATTATATTTCACTTTAGCTTTGTCCCAAGTCAAACTTCTCTAACTTTGACCAAATTTTTAGAAAAAAAACTATTAAAATCTACAAGTTCAAGTAAATGCACTATGAATATATTTCACGGAGAATTTAATGAAACTAATCTGATGCTGTAAATGTTGATGCATTTTTCCTATAAACTTGGTCAAAATTAGAGAGACTTAAGTGAACTATAACTTGGAACAGATGGAGTAGCATACAAGCCTACTCATATCTGAACAAACCATTTATTCTGTGCATGCAAATATAGTATACTTGCCTTTGAGATGAGTTATTGTATATCATAAAATGAGAATCTATTAATAATGTATAATATCAAACTAGTGGCAGAGAAGTTTACCTCATAAACCTTTTCTGTGTAAGTATCTTGTCCCTTTTCTGATGCCCTTTTGATGTTGCGCTCCAAAATTTCTTTAGGGACATCAAGTTCCCTTGCTTTCTCTAGTATAGCTGCTAAAGTTGTGTTGGATGAAGGGTTCGGGCCACCCTTCTTGATGCTGTGTGATATACATAAACGAACCAGATTAATTTAAATGAATGGCACTTGAACTCTGATGCTTGGTCTTGTCTGTTACCGTTCCATTTTAACAAGGCCTACCACTTGGTAAGATATAGTGACACTCACTTCAGTGATATTAAGCAGGCAATGTCTAATTACAGAATACAACCACAATACCTTCACAAGGCAATAACATGCTACGCTACAGATGTCCAATTATTTAAGTTTAAACTACCAAAAAGGTAAAACATCCTATGCTTTTTAAAGAGGACATGCCAACAGATACTAGCAGATGGTAGCATGTTGGATTAACCTTATGCTCAAAACAATCCAAATTAAGAAATCGATGAAATGACAATCTGTAAGAATGATAATGCAAGATCACAGTGTCCAGCAACACCTACGCAGCAACAATTTCTTTTCCAATTTTGCTGTTGCGCTTCATCTTCTTCAAATTCTGGGCATCCTGAATCAAAGAAACAACTAATGTGAGGATACATATTGAGACGTTAAAGCTAACTACATTAAACAAGAAATGAAAGTTGCTTCCTGTTTTTAGTTTTTTTTTCCTACACAATTATCCATTTATCCTAATGGAGAGTAAATTAATACTAGGCTACTTAGCAGCAAAAGCTAGCTCATATCCTCAGTGACAACCGAAAATTCGAAACACATTGATATTTGTTGCTGCATCCATGTCCGTTATTCCAAGCAGAGGCCCAACCAGAATATGCACAGCCAGTGGTCCCGAACTTCGAATTACTGTGACACTGTGCAGAAGATCAAGGCAAGAGCACATCACCTTCCTTCCAGCGATTTTGCAGGAGCGTCGTCCCATGCAGAGCGGCGGGAACGACGAAATCCGCCGCCTCGCCGCATGCCTCCGGAACAGGCCGGCGCTGCCAA